TCTTTATAAATTCCTCTAATGACAAGAAACACACACACACACACACACATACAGTCTTTATTTTTGGGAGCAATTTTAAACAAATATATACATTTTATTTCTATTAAAATCTACTATTCAAAAGGAATATAGTACTTACCATTCAGTTATACATTCAAAGTATGTTCAGCAAATATGTGTCTTAGACATCATGTTAGCCACTGGGAAAATAAAGATAAAGAAACACAAATATAGGTCATGGCTTCACAGAGGTAATCTGAAGAACAAAAATTATCATGAGATTAAAACTTTATAGGAATGTCTTGAGGAAGCCCTATTTATGAATGAGCAAAATCCCAAAAGGGAATATGTATAGTCTCTGGTGGAAGAAAACTTGGAAAATTACAGAACTAAATACATCTCCTCTGGAGCAGAGCAAATTGTTAAAAGTGATAGATTATGAGAGTGGTGTGGTAGGAATTGACTCAAGAGACTCTGGAGGTCCTATAAACCCAATGTGGATTTCAGCTTTACTGGAGAGCAAAGGAAAATTGTGTAAGAATTTCAAAGCAAAAGCACTTTGAAAAAAAAATTCCATTTTCAAGGTCAAGGACCAATTGAAGAGCATCAACAATAGGTTAAGAGCCAGTTAATCCTTTATAGTGTTCCAGGAAAAGGATGTGGGACATTTGTAGGAGGCCAGGGTCAGTACACATGAAAATAGGAATCCAGGGTAAAATCTATTTACAAGGTGAACCTGCCAGTAGTTGGTGATGGATTAGACAGAATGGGTGAGAGGAACAGATACGAGGTTGTATCTTGAAATTTTGGTTTTCAAAATGGAATGGCTTTTGGTGCCACTTCCTGAGACAGGAAGCATGGCAAAGAAACCATTTGCAGGCAAATTTATGAGTCCAGTTTTAGGTTGAGGCACTCAGGTCAAAATAAAGAAAACTGGGTATCTGGTTTTGGCTCAGAGGAGGGCTCTTGCATGAATCAAAAATTACTAATGTCGGGAGGTAATACAAGCGGCAAGGATGAGATGAGTTTGCCCAGGGAAAGAGATGAGGTGCTAGTACAAACAGAGTACAAGAAAGAGACTGAGCCTGCAAAGACAGAGAAAGAGCAGCCTGAGGGAGAGGAATGGCATCAAGAGAGTGTGGGCTCAGATGCTGGGGGAGAGTCCTTTCCATAGAGAAGATCAGTGAATCTCACTGCAGGAATTACAGCCAAGTTTTGCCAGCTCTCTGCTTATAGATATACGGCAATGTCTGCGTCCTAGCCCATTGTGGGAGGGTGTGAGCATGTATTTGATTTTGCATGAAGAATTGTGAGCAAAAATGACGTGTGTTGATTCTGGAAAGAGTTTACAATTGCCTGCGTAACATTCACCAGGGCTCTCCCTCTACAGGGCAACAATGTTCAAAACGGGTCCACTCCCAATATCTAAACCTTTAGTGATAAGATGAGTCAAGTCCTCCAGCTAACCCTCAGTGGATGGGTAGAGTGAGTGAGAAAGAAACCTTTGTTGCTGAGAGCCTGAGGTTTTGGAGTTGTTGCTTTTTTTTTTTTTTAACTGTAGCATAATTTAAAACATTCTGACTGATACAAATGTTAGAATCTGCTGACTGATTGAGAAAGATAAAGACTGAAAGAATAGAATGTCAATCCATTAGATTTAAAAACACAGCTTTAATGAGAGCTTGAGAAAGGGATGGGCCAGATCAGAAAGGACTGAAGACTGGAAAGATGAGGAGACCAACAGTAACTATGGAGAGAGATTCTGTCAAGAAGCCCATCAGTGACGGGGAGCACAGGTGAGGAGCTTGCTTGAGGGGGTGTGAAAGTTTGTTTTTTACAAGGTGGGGAGGCCTGAGAGATGTGTGGAGAGGAAGGATTCTGATGAGAAAGAGGGTTATACTAAGGTAAGCAAGAGATGATGGATGTTGCCCATTTCTTGAAAAGACCAGAGGTTATGCCTGAGTGCCCTTAACCATGCTAAGTAAAATTTCACCAAGTATTCCTTGCCCTCCTTCCAAAAAAAACCCCAAAACCATTTATTAAAATAAATAAATAAATAAGCAAATTCTTATACAAATTAATCACAAAATTATGAAAACTTGTATTTAAACTACTTAATTGGTTGGGTTTTTTTGTTGTTGTTTTTTGATACAGGGAGTTGAACCCAGAGGTACTTAACCACTGAGCCACATCCCAGCATTTTTTTTTTTTTTTACAGACAGGGTCTCACTGAGTTATTTAGGGTCCCACTAAGTTGCTGTGGCTACCCTTGAACTCTCTATCCTCCTGCCTCAACTTAAAGAGCCACAGGATTCTTCTCTGTTGGTCCCAATGGCATCTCCAGGAAAAGAAAAGTTCCTGCTTCTTTTCCATCAGAATGGTACTTGGTTTATTTAGAACTGGTGCTAGGCACAACTCTATGTAATCAGCTTTTATTTTGAGCCTTATCATTTAGGCTTTTTCATGTTGCAAGAAATAAAGGATGAGTATATGTTGAAAAGATAGTAGATAAAGTGAGGAAGCATAGGAGGTCATCTACAACATTTATACAATCAGGGAGAATTTACCTTTACTTTAGGATATAACTCAGCACACACCCCTAGAATGTAAGCTCCATGAAGCTGTGGGTTTGTGTATATTTTCTTCACTGAAGTGTGCTCAGCTCTTTGGACAGTCCCTGATATACAACAAGCAGTCAATAAGTATTTGCTGAATGTAAGAATGACAGTTCATCTTGCCTTGCCATTATACATGGGGGTCTAATATGCCTAACTCTGTGATTCTTCTATTCCTGGGCTTAGCCTGTCTCCCATTCTGCCTCATTCTTTTTCTGCTGCTTCTATTACCACCAGGCACCTCCTCTACCCTTCTGCTCTTTACTCCCATGGTCTCTAAAAATTACTCAAACTTTTGACTAGCTTGTGGTTTCTGCTTTCCGTCTTGTCAAGGTGTTGTGGTTTTGCTGCACTCCTGTCTGTATCTCCATTTGAAGTATTTCATGTGTTTGCCAAAGACAGATGATTTGATTGGTTAGTGAGTTAGTGAGTTACCTCCCAGTGTAAAAATACACTAATAGTGCATAGCTTTCATGTTTGACTACCCAATAAGACTACTATATAGCTGTGTAGATTTCAAATTTTCCCACAGAAAGGAAATCATTGTATAAGTGATCCAGTGCTCACATGCGTGCGCGTGGGCACACACACACACACACACACACAAATACTATACACACAGGCACATATATTTAAATACACATTGAAATGAATGGCTCATCTAGTTACACTGAACTTTTTCTAGTGCAATGAACTCTAATATATTCTATTCTATTCATTCCATTACATCCATTCAGTTCCATTCTGTTTCTATTTATTTTATTTTAAATGTTGATAAATTGATTTATCTATACACTGGCCAAATCTGTAATTAAAATGAAAAAAAAAAAAAAAAACCCTGATCTGGCTTGCAGTTAGTCAACTTTGTTTGGGATATCAGTTTGCAACCATTATCATGGTCAGTCAGGACAGAAGAGTCATATGTTAGAGGACATGAAAATTTTTGTCTTGGGTAGGTTCTTTCATGATAAGGAAACTGTGGGTACAAGAGGCAAACCATGTGGTCCCTGTGATAAAACTACTCTTCCCCCATCTAGTGTTCCTCGTATTCTCCCCAATCAGTGTTTTCCATAAACTTACCCCTGTTAAAATATCAACTGACGAATCTTTGCGGTGGGAATCTCTTTAAGATGTGTTTTCCATTTTAATATGAATTTGTTTAACTAGTTCAATTCAATCATTCTTGAGAGAATCACTTTGGGAACTGAGTCATGAACATCATAATGAAATTGTTTGTACAGTCCAGAGGCAGGTAATGTCTTGGAGACCTAAGGCCTTTCTTTCTTTCTTTTTTTAAAAAAATACTTTTTAGTTATAAATGGACACAATATGTTTACTTTGTTTATTTATTTTTATGTGGTGCTGAAGATTGAACCCAATATCTCACATATGCAAGGCAAGCCTCTGCCTCTGAGCCACAACCCCAGCCCCAAAGGGCCTTTCTTTATACTTCTTCAATCATACATTTTCAAAGCCTGGTCTTGTATTTAAAAAACAAAAAACAAAAACAAAAACAAAAAAAACCTCTCTCAATCTAAATGAAAAGTCTATATAGGATCCAACTCCAACCCTATAATGCTGTGTAGAATATTTTCTGAGAAGGAAACCTGGTGTGGTAGCCAGAATGATAGCCCCTTTGAGATGTCTTTGCTTTAATTCCTGGCATGTGTGAATATATTAGCTGACATGGTAAAAGGAACTTGGTAAATGTGATTAAAAGTCTGTACTTTGAGATGGGAGATGATCTGGATTATCCAGATGGTCTCAATCTAATCATGAGACCTTAAAAGCAGAGAGCTTTCTTGCTGTACACAAGTGAGAGGGACATGATGACAGAAGGATCTGAGAGATCTGAGAGGACACAACCTGCTGTTGCTGGCTTTGAAGATGGAACATGGAACATGCATGGCCCTGTAGTAATTTGCTATATGAACATTTGAACATGAACATACCAGGAATGAATGTGTTAGCCCTAGGAGAATGGATTAGAGCCTCTGCAGTCTTTATTATTCCAGATAGGAAACCTTGCAGGGTACTGGATGGGTGACTATGGCCCTCCTCTTCTCTGTCGCAGAATACTGGGATTTTGTCTCTTGGGTAAAACTGTGTGTGTCTCCATAGAATGTATTTTTCTGCTTCAAGTTAGAGGGTAGAGCTTACTCTAGTATAATACTTATTGAGAACATATAAAATAAGAGTCAGTGTTCTCAGGATTGGAAATATGCTATCCTTTCTTCCTTTAAATATTTTTTTGTGTGTGTCTTCTTGTGCAAAATTTTAAATGTGCAAGAAATATTTTTATCTCTGTATATAAATAAATATCAATGTCTATACCATAGCTTGGTATGCAGTCCTCAGTTATGTAACATATACTGGAAATAATCATTTTATAATGAGAAAATGTTTATTGGGGCTCCCAGGTTTGAAGGTTTCAGTCCATGAACTGTTGGCCTTGTTGCTTTTGGACCTGTGATGAGGCAGCACATCATGGCAGGAACTCCTGGAAGAGCAAAACACTTGACTTGTGGCTGGAAGCTGAAAAAGAGGCAGACGAAGGGGCGGGGGTCCCACTATTCCCTTCAAGAGCCCATCCCCAATGACCTGAAGATCTCCCACGAGGCCCATGTCTTAAAGGTTCCCACCACCTCCAATACCACCATGCTGGAGACTGAGCCTTTGCCACATGGGCTTTTGGGGGACACTTAAAATAAAAAACATAGCTCATATTTCTAAACTGCATTGACAGATAAATTAGTATACCAATTACCCCTTGTCTTGGCTTTTAGACTGTGAACTGTATAAAATATTCTTTAAAGTTGATATTCTATTCTAAGCTTACCATGTGGTCTACCAAAGATTTAGAGTAAACATTTTGCCCCCAAAGTGAGGTAGTTGATATATTGTGCATGCACAATATATCACACACACGCACAAAAATCATTGCCTAGAGGCACAAAACATTCCACCTTCCTAGGGATTATTGACAAAAATATGCCTCAGAAATTTTCATTTAAGCTCCAGGGAAGTTGATATAAAGACATGTAAAGACTTTTTCCAAAAAGTGATCTTGGCATGAAAGTGGCAATTATACCAATAAAAATATAGAGGGGTCAACAAATAGAAAAAGCATGAAGCAAGCAATCCACAGGTATTCTGGGTAAAAATGCACAGAGCATTCTCTGGTGCTGATTAGTGACAAAGGGAAGAATAGATATGTCTTGGAATCCCATGGAGAGTTGACCCCTGTTTTCTTGAAGGTTATCATGAAAGCAATAAATGAAAAAAAAAAAATAACAATGACTTTCTAAAATGGTTCTTGGTTGGGGTTAATTTATGCATGATTCATCTTATGGCTAAGGATCCAGAAAGATATAACAATTGGAAATATGAAATTATGAGAACAACTTGACTTACTTTCTTAATCTGGGGAAATAAGAGCAATCTGAACTAAAACTCTAGTCCTAACATTTTATAATATATTTTGAGTAATTCACTTAAATTAACTGGTAAATGGCTCTGTTATTGACCATTTTGGGAAAGGTAAAGTGTGATCATGACTCAGGGACAAAGTGACCCAGAAATTAAAGTCACAGCAGACCAGTGTCTGAAAGTCCATGCATACTGAAACAGAAGAGGAGGGGAAAAAAACTCCAAGGGGAACTTTCTTCTGAACTTGCAATGCCTTTCTCTTTCCAAGACAGCCTAGTGGGGAAAATCTGAGAACGTGGGGAAAGTGTTGTTTCCTATCACGTTGGTGTATTTGAACTTCAGGTACCAAACTTTAGTGACATTTAACATAGGTCAATGAAAGTCCAAAAACAAAACAAAAAAAAAAAACAAACCTTTGATTATTAAGTAACAGTAAGCAACACCTTACACATGTTCAAACCATTTTTCATGTGTTTAATTTCCCCCCTTAAGTATAGAAATCACTAGTTCTGCTCCCTCCTAGACACAGAGAAGGGGGAAAGTATAATTCTAAACCACTTGCAACATTAGAAGAAAAAAAGTTACCTCTGCATTAATAAGGAACTTGATAGCTTCCATGTGGTCGGAGAATTTTTACATGAGAAGGAAGTTTAATTAAGACTTCCTCATTTTACTAATCCATTCATTTTAAGTCAACAAATATGTACTATGGCCAAGTACTGTGAGTTTTTAATCTATTTATAAATGAATAAGATCCATTCTCTGATCTCCTGCAGTTTAAATAGGCTGGGATGGGCAAAGGTAATATCTGTGAAAATGAGTGAGAACTCTGTTAGATGTTTGTACCATAACTCTTAGCTTCAACCAACAGAAAATGCCTGTGGCTGACCTAAATTAAAAAGTAACACCAAATTCCAGTTCCAGAATTGCTGGGAAGGCTGGGCAATCAGGCGCACAGATTAAAGAACCACATTAGCAGCCAAAACGATGTCACTGAATAGGTTCATTGTTTCTGCCAAGCTTTAGAAACCACAGTTTGCATGACCAGCCAGGGTTGGGAGTCCTGGACCCTGTGCTCCATGAACGCCACAATCCACCCCAGAGGAGGGCGGTGTTTGCACAGCTGTCTCCCTTCACCACAAGAGTGGACTCTCTCTTGTCCCTGCTTCTTTTCCAGCCACTTCCTAATTCCTGGTCCCAGATAGCTGTGTTTGATTAGCTATTCTAAGTGCTTTGCCTCTCCCTTATCTACAATGGCCAAATTTAAGTGAGTCACTGGAATTTTAGCTTCTATGTCAATGATGTTATGGTTGGAGTGTATGGATGGAGGGCAGGAATAGATTTTTAACTTTCTATTATGTGTATCTGTCTCTTTTGGCTTAAACGTTCTGATGACTTTTTAAAAATTATTCTCAGTTTGAGTTTCTCCTCCTCGAATGAACATAAGATTGGGATATGAGGAGAGGATGGAGTTCTGAAGCTCATGTAATGAATCCAAATGCATTACTTGCTGTGAGAAGACAGGTTTAATGCTTGGGCTAGAGGTCTTATTGGTGCACTGCATAGCATCACATTTATTGATGGGTGAGTCTGACCATTTTTCCTGAGTCCTGAAGGTATAGCATAACCTCTTTGTCTGTACCCCTAGCCTGTGCAGGTCTACTGGCCTTCTTGGCACCTTCATGGTCCCCCACTGAGAGTTGTGGAAATAGCTAGTTCCCCATTAGCCTTCTCATCTGGGTTAAGCACACAATGGTTCAGATTGTGTATTTGATTACAGACACCCTGCTCCTGACACATCTACTCTTTAGTACCTCCTAGCATGTGTCTATGGAAACCCCCTTAAAGTTCCCTTCAACCTCTTGCTTTCTTCTTCTCACACACTGAGGTGAAAAGGTCTGACTTTCTATATTCTTCTACTATCTGTCAGGAAATAACATATGTCCATATCTTACTCTTTTTCTTGAGTACAACAAATCTCATGGCTCTAGTGATCGTGATTTTTGTGTATGGAAGAGAGGTGAAGGAAGGAAGTGGCCCTGAACCAGGCATCAAGGATGAACATGGATGCAACTTTAGGCCACAGGCAGATTGTGCTCACAGGCAGGCTAAGGGGTTAGGGATTATATGACTTGATTAGAGGAACATTGGGAAGGTGAGGTTTGTTTTCACCAGTCAGACAACTCTTATCTTCACCCGCCAGCTTTTATGTCTGAGCGTCCAAAGAAAGCTCACTGCACAAATCAGTCTGGTCTCACTCATGCCCTCCAAAATGATTGACAGCTGGAAGACACAACATGTGTGAGGGCCAGGAACAGGCCTGTGAGGTGAACAGCTGGTGAAAATTCCCTTCCCTGGGTGAGCGAGATCAGAGACTACAAACTATTTAAAGAACTTCGAGAACAGAGCTTAGTCTTCAGATCAGGAAGATGAGATTATAGAGAAACATAGCCTGCTGCTGGAACTGAAAATTAAAATCATAGATAGAGGCAGGGCAGGTCTAAAGATGGTAATTATGGGACATAGGATTCCAAAGAGACTAGCCCATAGGAAGCTGTTAGAAACCAAGTACACAGCATGAGGGGGAGCTTTCGAGACCATCAGTGCTGATCCAATAGAGGCTGCATTTCAGGTACTGTCTGGGCTTTAGCTGCTGCATTTTTCTTTTTTTTTTTTTTTTTTTTTTTTTTTTGGAAAATAAAGGTTTTAGAAAAATGGGCTATGGAGGATTCTTATATCAGGATTTTATCCTGAAATTTAGAGAGTTCTTTTCATTTAAAACTCTGGGCTAGATACAGATGGTATTAAGTGTTACAATCTAATTTAGAGTTAATATTGCAGGTGTTTGGTGCATCCATTATCAAAACATCTACATGATTAGGTGGGAGTAAAATGAAACCTTGCCTTAAAACAGGCATGTGTATGCCTGTACCCACATAAAACAACGAAACAAGGTGCAAAATGTTATAAAAGAACTAGGCACAATATTATGGAATTGATTAGGATTCAGATGAAGCAGACTCAGGAAGGCTTCCTGGAGAAAAGAGTCTTTTCATCATACTTTGAAAGGATTATTAAAAGATGAGGATTTCAGGGAGAAGAAACAGCATGGAGAACAAACCAGTAGGCTGGGGGAGACGAGAGCCTTTTTGTGGAAGGAATATAAATGGCATAAGAAAAGTTAGGTTCTAGTCAGGAGTTGAGGGACCTGTGACAAAGGGGATTGAGTGGCTAATTTGGATTGTGGGATGACTCAGGAGAAACTCCAGGGGGACTCTGGGTGGGTTAGGTGACTGGGCCAGCACCCTCAGACAGGACGCATTAGGGAGGCACAGGCATGGAGAAAGGAGGTGGAGAGAGGGCAGGAAGGGAAAGAAATGCTCCTCTGTCACCACTCTGCCATCTGCCTACTCTAGATGAGTACTCCTATTGTGTTTTTGAGTCCAGACCAAGCCAAGGCTAGCCTCTTTCCATTTTCTGGACTGTGTCAAATAGGAAATAAAAGGCTCAGAGGAAGATGCTCTACAAGCAAATAAGGAAAACACGCTTCTTGATTTTAGCTTTGTTTTCATTTTCTGTGGCTAATACTGCAAAGAACTGAAATGATGATTGCATCCTTCATTTTGCTAAGCTTTAAAAAATTCCTCCCTCAATTTTCTCTTTCTTGAATTTTGAACAATTGGAAATAATGCTGGAATATGCAAGAAGGAGCCATGACCCCAGAAATGGAAAGGAAAGCGGAAGAAAATGTTTTAAAAAATACTTATCCTTGTTCATATTTTTAAAAGCACATTTTTAAATATCAGGATGTATTTGAGAAGATGAAAGGTCAAAGGTCCCCTTACAGGTGTGGCATATCATAGTTGTAAGAGGAACTGAGATTGCCAGGCCTCACCTCAGCAGTCTTCCTCCACCTGCTTCTCCGAGCAGCAGGAGCCCTGGCCTCTGAATCACCGAAAGAGAATCTGGCAGGGCAGGTTTCACAGCTGCAGGAGAGAGAGTTCATTTGCATAATTTTTCAGTTCTTGCCAACAGTGAAAAACCCTTCTTACTCCTCTGCAAATATCAAACCACTTTAATTGCCTTTTATGCAAATAGGACCATGTAAACTGCTCATTTTTAAATATAACACCAGAGTCCCCTGTCCCCCATTGTTCTTCCCACTGTTTTTCCTTTATTCCTAGAGTGAAACTCCAGACATTGCCCTGTTCTCCCAGTTTCAGGTGAGGAGCCTGAATTGTGGGTATTGTAGTTCTTATGCCTTTCAGGGTTTCTGGTTGGGCAACACTGGTGTTACACTGGTAGGACTTCGAGTCCCAGGTGGCTCTGTAGGCAGGAATGCAGGTCTCACCCACACACTGAGCAGGGCGCCTTTGAAGAGAGCACCTGGCTTGGATAGAGTGACTTCCATTCACTAAAACAATGTGCCTGAACTGAAGAAGCTGAGGCTCACTTCCACAGATGTAAGTCGATTTTTAAAAAACAATATTCCTTTCACTGATGGTTTTATATGCTACACACTGGCAAGTCGTATAATTTCCAGAAAAATTGAATAGACTAGCTGCTGCTTCCTTCCCAAGCCTTACTTGGAAACATGGAAGGAAACTGGTATCCTTGGGACCTTGAGATATGGTTTAGAATAAAGTAGTTCATGTAATAAAGGAGCAATACATGTAACATTAAAAGTCAAATGTAAGAAAAGAACCACTCTGACTTGCTTCAAAGATATATACATTTGAAATCCTCTGAAAAATTTAAATATTTCAAAAGACCTTCTGGCATGTTGAAGGCTGTGAGCTATAAGGCTAGATAAAGGCTAGAATTGGTCCCACTCTATTGGATGTGTGACCGGTAACCAGATGTTTCACCTTGTAAAGGCTCAGTTAAGTGAGTATAGACTGCCTCACTGGTTTAATAGAATGAAACTAGCAGAATGCACAGTACTGAATAGACAGATAACAACCAATGAAAGGTAAATTGGCTTCATCCCAATTAAGTTTCAGTTATGCTTCACAAACAGATAAAAGAGACAAATACTATATGATTCCACTTGTATGAGATATTTACATTAGTCAAATTTTTACAAAAATAGAAAATAGAATGGTGGTTTTCAGGTCTAGGAGGAGGGGGAAATGGCAGCTGTTCTGTGGGCATAGAATTTCAGTTTTAAAAGGTGAAACCATGCTGAAGATTGTTTGCACAACAATATAAATAAACTTACCACTGTTGAATTGTAGACTTATACGGAGAGAAGATGGTAATGTTATGTTCTTTTCACCACGATTTTAAATGTCAGATCAAAGAGCATGTAGTGAAAATTCTGGTGCCTTCCACTTAAGAAGTTTTCCCAGATTGCTTAAAAAGATCTAAATCTGTATTCAGTGGACTTAACCTCAGATTGATATGAAGTCACCTATGTTAGAGTTGGGTTTTCAAATAATAATAGTTTCTAAGTGATGATGAGTCCCTTTAAGGTACATTCTTAAAGTTGCCTCAACTTTAGTGGTGATCCTTTAAGCTCTGCTTAACACAATTACATGATTATTTTAAACTCATAATGGTGATTTATAATGACTTCTTAAGTAGCATACAGAATATAGAATTTATGAAGTCATAACTATTAAGTTATCTGAAAAGTTGGTTATAAGTCATTTTTAAAACTAAAGGTATCACTGTCACGTATAGCTAAGAGGCTCTAATAAAATTAAAGAAAAAATAAAGGCAAACGGATTTATTCCAGTTTTCACACCTTCTTTGTAGCTAATTTATAAACAGGATATTTTTTATCTGTGTCTTAGAGATAGCAAATACTATCAAGATGGAGTTCATTAAAGGCCACCTTATGTTAAAATGCATTCAAAAGACAATTTGAAATTATATTGATTTTGAACTTTAAGCCATATCACTGTTAAATTTTTAGAGAATCCTTTCTTGAAAAAAACATGCATCTGACCAGCTGTCTTATAAGACCAGGCATTTTCTATGGTATCTGGTGATAACCCAAAGTGATAACAACCAGTATTTGTATGCACTTTTGTATGTGATATGTCCTATACATGTAAACTTTCAGGAGCTCTGTCAGTAAGAGCAGGATGACACTGGAATGAAAACAAAGGTGGAGGGCAGCTACAGAAACTCTGAGGACATATAGCACGTTAACTAAGAGCAGCTTTGTTCTTGTTGTCACATGCCATCTATGGCCTAGATGGTCGAGATTCTCTAGGAAGTGCCATTTATTAGTTTGATGAGAATTTCTAGTAATTCTAAGTGGTCCTCTTGGGTTGAATCTACTGAGAAGGATGATCAAGCCTAGCCCCTGAAAGGATCTTACCTGTAGAGGATAGTGTGTTCATACACAGAGGGAGGAAGCATTAATTAATCAGTCACTTAGGAGGTTCATGGAGTCACCTTCATTAATCACACTTCATAGGAAGTGTGATGCTCAATATTGGGATTATAAAGAAGCCTCCATTAGTCTAATAATGTAGCTCAGTGGTAGAGTGCTTGCCTAACATGCATGAGGCCCTGTTTTCAATCCTCAGGACCAAAAACAAACAAACAAATAAAAAGAAGCCTCCATAAATCTTTGAACTATGATCACTGGAGACCAGAAAAAGTAAACTTGAAAACTTGTATATGCATCATGCAAAAGCAGGATGGAGTGACCTCCCCAAACCAAACATGGAAGAGAAGCTTAGCTATGATGCCCAGAGGAAGGACAGTCATAGTGTGCTGAATTTTAAAAGGATACTGTAGGAAGTGGTGGAACTCTAGCCAGGGCTGGAAGGATGTGCACAGCTGAGATCAGCAGAAAAAGTGATGAGAATATGTCACATACAGCAGCGTTTTCCAAACTTTGCAGACATGAAACTATTTTAGGCAACATATGGACTAGAGAGTCAATAATACTGAAATAACAGACCAGGAAAGTTACTATTTGTTCAATATTTTAAGCATACGTTTAATTCTTCAAGTATGAATTTTGTTCTTGATAAGATTTAAAAGTTCTTCAATCACTTATTTAAGACACTATTATAACAACAGTGTTAGCAACAGATTTTAGCAGGAGAATAATATTTTGTTTAATAACTGAAAATGTTATTTGTGTTTATAGGCATTACCTGTATATTGTAATAGATACTGTGTTTTTTTTACTTATGACAATGATAGAAAATAATTTTTAAAATGTTTATCTAAACTAAAGTGAGAGTGAATTTACAGGAAAAAAAAAAGTAAGTAAAAAATAGTTCAGATGGTGTCTGTTAATGAAAAATTCATACAAGGTCCCTGAATGCCTGAATTTGGGAAACACTGAAGTAGGAAGAATGTCAAGCATGAAATTAGGAAGTGAAATTGAATAGGCTGTTTTTATGTATAGCTGGAAAGAAGGGATACTGGGTTTTCTATGGAGGGTATTCTAGGGGATTTTGGATGATGACACTGGAAGATGGTTTGTTGTGGAAGCCTCACAGGGATTTGGACTTTGCTTCAAGATAGCAGAGGTTTAAAAAAATGTCCTGTCCCAGGACTGATATGCTGAAAGCATTGCATGCTTCAGCAGATTCATCCAGGCACTAGCATTCAGGTGGGTTGGAGAATTGGGAATATGAAGGCAGGAAGAGTACCTCGGAAACAGGTTTTGAAACTCTGAGCATGAATAAATGAGCAGTGCTAGGAATTAAAATGAGAAAAGAGAGAGCAGTCACACAGTAAGAAAGAACAATGTAATCTCAGCCATGATGCTCTTGAGCTTTTGGTAGCCTGAGAGAATGAGGCGAAAGTTGGGAGGTTAGTTCTTGTGGGGTGAAAGATGCTTTGCACCTCAGGCCATTTGAAATTGTGATAAGAATGATCTTGAAGCAAAAAGGAAAACTAACTTGTTCATCATGTGAACACCTGAAGTGCCACCAGGGACAGACAGAGACACCAAGGAGAGAGCAAGCACACCCCTATTAATAAAGAAGCCCAGTCCTGTGCTTCCAGCCTGCCTCACTCAAGGTGTTAGGGGAGACAGCTGGAGAAAGAGAGCCTTCAGGTACTCAGTACGGGATGGCAAAGGAATGGCATATTGATCTTCCTTCTCAAAGCTTGCTTTTCTCTGAAGGTTTCTCTCTTGATTACTATGGCTTGTTTTCACCTTTCCCAGAGATATGAGGCTTCCGTATAGGGAATTTCCTTGGAATGAAAAAAAAAAAAATCTTTATCTCTAACAAAGATAACAGACACCTGGTTTTATTTCCAGAAATAATAGAGGAGTTTTGTACACATTTTCTCTTTTTAATGGGAAAACATTTAATTTAGACATTTCTTTAATACATACAAAACAGAGCTGATGAATATTAAAGATAAAAAATATTCTCCTTTGCCCTATTTCTCTTTTGCCAACCTCAGAGATCACCATTATCCTCTGTGTAGATATCACTGCAGGGTACGTTTTATTCTTTTTGTTTTAAAAATGTTTTTATTCTCACCAAGTTGTGTGTGTGTGTGTGTGTGTATCTCCATGAGTAGCATATAACATTGTTTTGTGTGTTTAAAAATTTTATATAAACAATAAAGTATACATTATTCATCTGCAACTTGCTATTGTCTCTCCACATTAACTTTTGAGATCAGTCCATGTTGATTCTTATAGAACAACCTATAAATTTTCATAACTGTATGGTATTTTACTCTCATACGTAGCACTATAAAATATTCTATTACATTTTTTGTATAAAAATGTAAGACTTATTCTAGTGAACATATCTAGGAATAACATTGCTGAGCCATATGCATTTTTATGAGATATTGAGAAATTGCTTTCCAAATATTTATACCACATTATAACCCCAACCAAAATGAGAGTTCCTGTTTCTCTCTGTTACCAGCACACTTTTTAAATCTTAAATATTGTAATCAAATGATCTTCCCAGATGCCACAGAAAGCCAGGCACTTGAAGCATTGGGGAGATTCAGACATGTTTGGACCACTGCAATCTCTAAAACTATAGTGACTTTTAAACTTTTTTAAAATCAAGTTCTCTTGTATCTCAATTTATGGTGTTAGAGACTGACTCATCTTTCGACTTAACGGGCATGTGTTTTAGTATTAATGAAATTAATAACGGCACCAATGACAATGTTGATAACAATGGTTAACATTGAGTACTTATTATATTCTAAGCACTTTTAATTATGTGATCTGATTTAATTAATTTGAGGGGCAAATAATAATATAATAACTCTCATAGAGATCAAGAATGTGATTCTCAGAAATTATTGTGTAAGTATTAAGTAGATACTGTGGATTTTGTATATAGTCAGTGTCTTCCAGCAAAGACAGGTAGGAAAGAATAGATGGAAAAAATTGGGGAGATATTAAAGTATGGTAGTCCTTAAATTCCCCAAACTTAGAATCTTGTTAACATTTAAATAACATCAAAAGAGCATAATTAATGAGAAGAGTAAAGTAAGTGCAATA